CAATCGATAAGCACTCATTGGAAGGGAAAGGCCAAGCTGAGTGGCCAAATCGATCTCTGGGGTCAGTTCAGGGTGTAGAAGGCAAGTCCTGCTGACTAACATCTATGCATGCATGCCAGGTGGCAAAGTTGTGGTCCATCAGAGGAGGAGTAATGTCCCGGCGCCTCCTCCAGGTGGGGTGCAGGGCTAAAGGTCAGACACCCCCAGGAGTGTGATGGCCGCAGCGGACACCACCAGCACCTCTGTCCTCTGGCTCACCAAACAGCATCCACAGGACAAAGGGTGCAGAGGACTTGCTCAATTGTCACAGAAAACAAAAACATGCCCAGAGATTTTAAGCAGGAGGAAATGGATGAAGCTTTTCTTTCAGGTCCCCCAGCCTCGCACCGCTTTCCAGGTCACGCTGAGATGACTGGAGATTATTCTACCCCACCTGAACCATGACCCAATGGGGCTCCTGGGAATGTGCTTGTCCATGGACCCAGCCTCTCTGAAAGGCGGCTCTGGGCCGGCAGCTGGGGAAGGCCTTCGGCAGCACAGACTCTTGTTTGCAGATGGTGCCAAATCACTGATGGGGAAGGGGGTGTGCTCACTGCCAACAAAGTGGACTAATATTTTTGGGAAGTTTTAATTTGCATCAATTAAAAATTCAGGCCAGCTCTGAGCAAAGCAGAAGTAGGTGAACTTATTTCCTGAACCTCTGCACTGTCTTCCCTGGGCCCCTCCAGCCCTCTGCAGGCCTGTCAGTGAGGGAGCCTCCACCCTGACCAGCGTTTCCCAACTGGCCAGTTCTCAGATTCACACGGATTTATACCCACTCTTCTGCCAGACCAGACTAGGGCCCTGCAGGGAAGGAAAGAGAGAAACCATCTGGCTCCAAAAAAACAGGAAAAACCCGTCTCTGGAGCCTCAGCACCAGTCTTCAGGTCTGGGTCATGTCTATACACTGAAGGCTCTTTTCTTGAGCTTCTCAGCTTTGTATCTTTTGACTAAAGGAATATGAGAAATGCCTGGGAAGATTAGATGCTTCAAGCAATGCATGGAACGTCATAAGGACTCACTAAGCCATGGCATCTTGCTACAGCTGAGGACTGTTTAGGTGCGTCCCTCTGTAAATCTCCAAACCTTAAGTCCTGGCCCCACCACACCCACCCTGCCCGTCCTGGCCCAGAGAGCAGTTGTTTCATGGGAGTCATTTATGAGCAATGGAGAACCTCTCTTGCCCTGAGTTATGCTCTAATGGGCTCTGCGGTAGAACCTGTGTCCTTTTAACCCCTGCTGAGTGAAGGGACGGATGAACGCATCCCATCAGTGGATTTATGAATGAATATGTAATGCACATGCTTCAGGAGACAGACAATGCTGACCCACACAGAGGCCAGGAAAGGCAGAGCTGCTAAGAGTGACCCTAACTACCCTAAATGCCTTCTTCCCACTGGGGCCCAACAGCTCTTCTCCCTCCTCAAAATCCAAGAACCTGGAGACAGGACTTTCAGCCATTCATGAGGGCCCGAGGCTGAGTGACCGTCCCCCAGCAGTACTGATTCTTTCTCACACGGTTCCATTCTCCCAAGACCCAGAGTTTACAGAGGGCTGGGTGGGTCAAGGATGGGACCAGACCCCAGAAGGATTTAAGTCTCCCCCCCTGCCCCCCAGCCCAAGGAGCACCTGGGGGTGCTTTTTCCTCTATAACTCAGCTGATCTTTGTAACGAGTCCTCACTGATAACCAACAGAAAAGTTAGCTTAACATTCCAGTGAACTCAGTCCAGTGAACTCAGTCCAGTGATTTAAACACAATCGGTTTGAGTCTAATTTGGTCACTTCCCCACATGGCGGCCAGGCCTATCCCATTCTCTGCAGTGGCCCCTGCACACTCTCCAGCACCCTCTCAGCTGGCTTCTGGGCCCCACTATGGGCCCACAGGATCTTCTGGGCCAGCTTCCTTCTCCAGTCGAGGAATCTCTGAGCAAGCGTCATCAGCCCTATTCTTTTTTCATTTTTATTGGTGTATAGTTTACAGTATTGCATTAGCTTCAGGTGTAAAGTGCATCGGTTATATACATATGTATCTCCATTATTTTTCAGATTCTTTTCCCATATGGGCCATTACAGTTTGAGTAGAGTTCCCTGTGCTATACCGTAGATCCTTTTAGTTACCTATTTTGTATACAGGAGTGTGTGTCCCAGTCTTCCAATTTATCCCTCCCACTGCTTTCCCCTGGTCACCAAACATTTGTTTTCCACATCTGTGACTCTGTTTTGGAAGTAAGCTCATTTGTACCACTTTTAAATTCCACACAAAAGTAATATCATACAGCATTTGTCTCTTCCTTCACTATGACAATCTCCAGGTCCATCCGTGTTGCTGCAAATGCTGTTTTTCATCCTTTTTATGGCTGAATAATATTCCATTGTATATATGTACCATATCTTCTTTATCCATTCCTCTGTTAATGGAAATTTACATTCTTTCCATGTCCTGGCCATTGTAAATAGTGCTGCAATAAATGCTGTGGAGCACGTTATTTTTTCAAATTATGGTTTTCTCTGGATATATGCCCAGGAGTGGGATTGTTGGATCACATGGTAGCTCTATTTTTAGTTTTTTAAGAACTTCCGTACTCCATACTGGCCGTACCAGTTTATATTCCCACCAGTAGTGTAAGACGGTTTCCTTTTCTCTACACCCTCTCCAGCATTTCTTGTTTGTAAATTTTTTGATGATGGCCATTCTGACCAGGGTGAGGTGATACCTCATGGTAGTTTTGATTTGCATCTAATTACTGATGTTGAGAATCTTTTCATGTACTTTTTGACCATATGTATGTCTTCTTTGGAGAAATGGCTACTTAGATCTTCTGCCCATTTTTTCATTGTGTTGTTTGCCTTCTTGATTCTGAGCTGCATGTGCCATTTATATAGAGATTAATCCTTTGTAGATTGCTTTGTTTGCAAATATTTTGTCACATTCTGAGGGTTCATTCATTTTCTTTATGGTTTCCTTTGTTTTGCAAATGCTTTTAAGTTTAATTAGATCCCATTTACTTATTTTTGCTTTTATTCACCAGCCCTGTTCTGCCAGGTCCTTTCAAACTGCCGAATCTCCAGCTGCTGTGGTAGCCTGCCCTGACAGCATCTGACAGGTCAGTGTCTTCCCTAATTCCAAACAGGGGACAGGGCCCAGGGCCCTCCACCAGGAGAACCTCCCTAAAGTCAAGGGAGTTGCACCAACATTGCCTCTAATGCTCTTCTCTAAAGACCCTCCCCTCTCCCACTCCAGACCTCTTACTAGTTATGACCCCTTTCAGATCTCTTCCTACGGCTTAGTCCTTTCACTTAAAGCTGGAAGACCCAGCATCTAGTGCTTCCGAGTCCAGCTGGGAGGGGAGAAAAACAGCCATGAATTAATACTTCTCTTAATATCTCACCATCTCACCATGGGAGAGAAGAACTTCAAAGACGGTGCTTTGGGGCCTGTCTGTCCTAGACAAGCGTACAATTATTCAAAAATCCCCAGCCCATGGCAGGGTGCAGAGTGACATCTCTGTAAGCAGGCCTGGCACAGAGGTCCAGGCACTGCAGGGAAGCGGTGGGGGTGGGGTGAAGGGGTGGAGTGTGACAGTCTCTAGGTCCAACCACGTTGCTGCAAATGCTGTTATTTCATCCTTTTTATGGCTGAGTAACATTCCATTGTATGTATGTACCGTATCTTCTTTATCCATTCCTCTGTTAAAGGACATTTACACTCCTTTGCTGACAGCCCAGGTTTGAAGTCATATGAGCCTGGACCTAATCAGGTCTCCTCTACTTACTGACGGGATCACAGCCAGTCATTCACCTCCTCTCAGCCTCAGTTTCCTCACCTGTAACAAGATGCCACTGTCTCCTAGGATCTCTGCGTGGAGCAGACTATCAGCACTGAATTCAGTGCCTGGCATGTACATGCTCCCGAAATGAAACCCATCTATTTGATTCTCAAAACCACACACACACTCAGCCCGAGCCGGGCTCAGGAGTTCAAAGGGAGTCCCCAACACTCCCTGCTCAAGTCCTCTCACAGGACCTCTGTACACAACTATTTGGGTACCACCACTCCCCTTGGGTTATTCTTGCATGCCGGAAACAGATCCCGACTCAGGCTGCCTCAAGTCAGAGTAGGGGTGTATGCAATGAGGACCCTTTCAGTGCCTCATATCTGGCTCAAATTAGCTAAAGCCAAAAAGAAACAAACAGGTCTCCTTTGACTCACAAAACCAAAAATTCCAGGGTATCTGCCTCTGGGCACAGTCGGACCCCAGGACTCCATGGACACCACCCAGACTTGGCCTCATTCACCCCACCTGCCTCTCAGCTCTGACTCCCTCTCTCGGCCTGGTTACCCGCCTCTCATGATCAGCAGCTGCAGGCTTATTCTCTGAGCAGCCCTCCTGGGGGAAATCTGCCTCTTTCTTGGTTGTTCTGGCAAAAAGCCAGGCCTGAGGCTTGGTAGGCCAAACCATGGGCATTCCTGAACCACTCACCATGGCTGTGGAGACACAGGTAAAGCAGTGGGGTCAACCCACCCAGGCCCTGGGCTGAACGAGGCGGTGCAGGAGAGAAGGCGGCAGGGACGGAAACCCCCAGATGCTCGCTCACCCGTCCTCCCACCACACCCCAGCTCTGCACACCCACTCCCCAGTCACACTCCCTTCCAGCTCGCACTGCCAGTGGCCTGAGATGCTCGTTAGTCCCCATCTGAAACTCGAGAGAGTGGGAACTGAACTGGCCCAGCTGTTGGTTGGGCAGGGATTTCCTCGCCAAGTCACATGACAGGCACTGCTGGCTGAGGACGAGTGCCCATGGGTAGGAGTCCAACTTGATCCCGTCGGCAGAGCCAAAGCAGGGTTGGAAGATGGTTGGTGTCGCAGTTCACACGAGGTTGCCTGGCCGGTCCATTATGGAAGAGCCACGGGCGGGGCAGTTTCTGTTAGAAGAAGCGGGGGACAGCAGGCCTCACAAGTGACACTTCCAGGTGCCCCTATGGCATCTGGAATGGAAACAGCTTTATTGATACCTGAGGAAAGTGCAAGAGAAACACTCCTTCTGACCACTCGGCCCACCCCTTGGGGCCAGGTCAACTAGAGGCCGGACTAGTCCTCTCACCCTGCCCATGCGCTGGGGTCATCCGGGGCCTTGCTGGCCAGTGCCCAGAGGCCAGACAAGTCAGGGGCCAGAGCCTGGAGAGAGGACATCTGCAGCCGTGGCTTCTACGGCAGGGGCGGGGGCAGCCCAGCAGCCTCACTGGTCAAGGTCCAGAGCCTCCTGGGTCACAGTTCGGAGTCCGATGGAAAACAGCTCCTCCCAGGGCTTCCGGATCCAGGCCAGCAAGGCCGTCAGCTGCTCCGGACACACAACTCGGAGTGCCCAAAAGCTCTCCAGCCGGGACACCTGGCATACAAGCGGCAGTGAGGTGAGATGCACGAGGGCCGTGCCCAAGCAGGAGGCAGCGGGGTGGGTCTCAGGAGCACCCACTGCCCCTCCCAGTTCAAGGCGTCCCCAGGCCTGTCTCTCTCCAGAAAAGATCCTGACTCAGCTTCTAAAACAGAACGCAATCAGCACTGATGGAAGAACCCCCAAGAGGGCTTTCTTGTTACCACCTTGTGTCTTTAACCCTCCCTGCTTTCAGACTGTCAGTTCTGGAGTCAGCTCCAAGGAATCGCTGGGACTTAGTTCCTGGCTCTGTCATTTATGACCTGGGCCCACTGGTTAACATCCCCCCAGCCTCAGAGGCCTCAACTGTAACTGAGCTAAAAACCATACTGCCTCCTCACGTAGAGGCTGTAAAAATCACATGGCTGGCGCACAGGCCCAAAGAGATACAAACTCCAAGCAGCGTTTGCTTCATCAGGGCCTCCGAGCTAACACAAAGTTGGGCTTCAAGTCCAGTGTTCCCACTGCCCATAACTGCTTCCTCACTACTGTCCACACCCCGTGACGGCCTCCCAGGTCCCGGCACCCTGTTCTCTGCGTTCCCCCGCATCATGACTGCCTGTGGTTAAGTTCCCTAGAGCCCAGATCCGAGTCTTCCTAGACCCACTCGCCGTACCGCCCCCCACTGCCCCCGACCCACCCCTCTCACTCGCTCCACACCTCGTCATAGAAGACCAGCCGCAGGGCCTCCGGGGCCACGCGATACAGCAGCACGGAGCTCAGGCAGCTGAGGGGCTGCTGCTCCCTGACGCTCACTGAGGGGCCTGGCCTAGGGGGTGGGGCCTTCTCAGATGCTTCGCCAGACGCTGCTGGAGGAGGGGGCTCTGCCTGGGACCCTGTAGGGTCCTCATCTAACAGGTACAGGGTGGACAGAGTCAGCAACAGGGACACAGGGCAGGCAGTGGGTCCTAGGGTATAAGAGACAGGGTGAGGCCCGGAGAAGAAGGCCTTGGAAAAGCCCAGATCCCCGGGCCAGTGTCCCAGTGCTGCTCCAGAGAGGAGGAGTGACCACACAGAGGCGGCCACAGCATGGCCTGTGCCTCTGGGGGCCAAGGTCTTCCATTTCCCAAAGTCCAGGGATCTCTAGCCTCCAAAAGCTCTGAGGCCCAAGTCAAAGGGAACTTGCCCCACCCTCACCCCCACATCAGAAAGATGCACCCACTCTCCCCTCACCAAAAGGGTAGGACAGGGCGGACTGAGATGATCTGCTCCGCTTCCCAGAGAGCCTGGGCCCCAAAGCAAAGGCAACCCAGGGCACTCCCTTGCCTCTCCAAAGAGGCTGGGACACCGAGACTGTTACTGGGTGAAGTCCACATCCCAGCACTGTGAATTACTACAAAGGCATAAAGAGGTGCCCAGGGGCTGGAGGGTTGGAAGCCCGGGGCCAGACCTCACCTTCAACCAGGAACGCTCGAAGGTAGAAGAACCGGGGAGGCTCCGAGGAAGAGTCTGTCTTCAGCAGTGGCCTGGGGAGAAGGCGGCAGGCCCAGGAAGGAGCGGTCAGCCACGGAGTGGGAAGAGCCACAGAGGGGTGGAGTGAGAAGGCCAGGCCCAGGTCAGGAGGCACAGGCGCTCAGGACTCCACCTGGGGCTTGTGAGGGGAAGGGCTGTGCTCCACGAGCAGCCGTCTGGGCCTCAGCTCCCTCTCCAACTCACCAGAGCCTGTGCTTCGGGGTCACCTCCTCCTCCGTGGCGCTGACACTGCTCCTCCGCGTCGGGGGCAAGGACTGCAAGACATCTGGACAGAGCCAGCCGGGGACAGGGAGCCCTCAACGACTCCGGCTCTTCCATCCCAACCTCTCCACACCTTCCCATCCTCCGCGCTGCGGAACTTCCAAGAGGGATGGGTCCTGTTACCCGTATGTCTTCACTGCGGGCGCCACTGTGGCGCTGTGGTCCACAGCCCCCGGCCCCAGCCTCCCTCTGCCCCCTGCCCCTTCTCACCAGTGAGCTCCTCCAGGAAGGCCCGGCAGCGCTTGGCCTCTCGGGGCAGCAGGATACAGGCCCCCGCCCCGGCTGCCCACTCCAGCCGCAGGCTCTGTCCCGCCAGGCCCAGCTCTATGTGCCGCAGATCCTGCAGGGGAACAGCCAGAGCTGGCTGCAGCCAGCTTGCCGGGGGCCCACTGTGGAGATGGTGAGGGCAGAGTGGCAGGAAAGTGAGAGCACAGTCAGAGCCTGGGGGCCCGGGCCCTTCCCTGGCAGCAGCCCTGCCCACTCACCAGATCTCCCCTGTCACCTTCAACACGTAGAACCTTTGGTCAGACACAACCACAAGACACAGAAATTCCCCCAGGTGGCCTGCCAATGCCAGCGGTACCTAAGGGGAAGAGGAGGTTGATGAGAAACAGAGAGAACTAGGGAGGCGGCCAGCAGATTGAGGGCTGAGCTCCTGGTGACACTGTTCACCCATCCGGCCTCTCCGTCTGCCTCGTTCTACAGCCCACAGCCCCGCCTGCACTCGGACCCACGTCAGGCTCTTAGCAGGTCTCCCTGACCGTCATTTTGCCCCCTCCAGCTCACCCTCTGAGAGGACGACTGCCCCCAAACACAAAACCCACCACCACTCCCCAGCTCCCCAGACTTCAGAGGCTCTACAGGCCTCGGGATCAAGTCCAGGCTACGTGACAGACACCAGACGATGCTTCCAGGCTCCTCTCGGGACATCTGCCCCGCCCACACTCTGGCTGCACCGCTCAGCCACTTCTCCCCACCAGCTCCTCTCAGGCCTCTGTGTAGTTGCTGCCTCCTTTCCCTAGATCACCTTTTTTCTCCCTCCCGTCACTCATCCTGCAGGAAGGAGAGGCTTCCCCGGTCCCCACAGGCTGGGATCAGACGCCCCTCAAGGGCCTGAGCCTGATTCTGAGCCTGATTCTCACCATGGCTGCCTGTTCCTCACACCAAGAGAGAGGATGGAGAGTGAGACTGCGGTACTCTAGGCCCTCAGGGTCCTGCAAGTGCTCACAGATCCAGAGAGGGACCGAGAGCGAGGTGGATTTGCAACAATGTCCAGAGGCTGCACCAGGCAGCCTGCAGACACCGGCTCCCACGTAGGCCACACACCCTGTGAGGTGAGCAGGGCCCTCCCCGTGGGAAAGGGGAGACTTCGGAGGCTCAAATACCAAGGAGCAGGTCCACAGCCACACTGAGAGTCACCGATGGCATTCAAACTGGAAGCCAAGCCTGGTGGCTCCAGAGTGACTGCCCAGACAGTCTGCTGTGGTGGAAATAGGCACGGGGGCACAGGGCAGGGCCGAGCTGGCACAGACCTTGAAGCAGCACTGGAACTCCTCCTGGGCATCGTTGAACACCTCGACATCCAGGAAGAGTCGGAGTCGGTGGTCCACGGAGCGGAGGCCGCAGCGCTCAGGGGCTGGGGGTGAGCAGTGGGCTGTCAGCCTGCCCGGGCCACCCCTGCACCCCTCCCCCAACACCTCTGTTCGCCTAGACTCACGCGGGCTGAGGCTCCAACTGTGGTGGTCATGGGAGGCTGGGGCCTGGGATGGGGCACTGCCAGCCCCGTTGCTGGGGTCGGTGTGGCCAGGAGGGTCATGGACAGTGCTCGGGGACTGCGAGGGGGCCAGTGATTGCTCTTCCTGTCTCCGCTCCCCACTGGGAGTTCCGGGGGACACGGCCAGAAGAACCACGTGATCACTACCACAGTACGGACACACAGCAGATGATTCTGGAGGGGGGATGGAGACAGGTCATCAACCACACACATACACACACACATAATATCCCTCACCCCCAACCCCACCCCGCTGTGCTCACAATACTTCCTCCACACTCTGGGACTCCTGGGCCCCATCTCCAGCTTCACACGCTCCCCATGCTCCCACCCAACCTGATGCCCTCAGCAGGCCAAACTGCTAACCAATCACTCCCCATCCCAGTGACAGATGAGCAGGCTCACAAGCTCCTCAATACACCTGCCTTCTCATTTCAGGAGGTCCACACCCACCCAGGCCCTGCTGTGGGCCCCTCCCACAGCCCTGGGCTGGGCATGTACGTGAAGTCTGAGAGCCCGAAATCAACAGATAAGGGTAGAATTCCAGGTTCTCTATGCTCGGTTCTCCATCTGTGAGATGGGGATGATGACGCTCCCAGAGGGTTGTCAGGACGAGTGAACAGAATTGGGTAAAGAAACCAGGCCACAGATCAGCGACGAGACAGGAAACACTCTTTGAGCAGCTATGACGTGCTGGAATGTGCTAGAGCCTCTGACAGCTGTATCGAAACTCTCCTGACCCTATTGTGCAAGTGAGGAAAGCAAAGATGGAGTCACTGATGTGCCCTGCCAAGGCCATGTAGCTCGGGTCAAGGCAGCAGCTACTGTGTGTGGAAGACCTCGGTTCTGAGCTAGGCATGGTGCCTGGTGCTGTTTTGTCACACTGAACTCTCCTCATGTCACGGGGCAAGTCCATCCTCTTCTTTGCTCAGACGAGGTGACTGAGGCTCAGATCAAAGGAGACCAGAGCACATAGGAATGTACAAGACTAACGCCACCACCAAAGGGACGCCAGGGCCATATGACCCTTGGAGTACAGACAGGGTCTGGGACCCGGTAGGGCTGTTCCTGTTATACATACTGTACTGCTGGGCTTGCAGCTGCCCAGGCAAGTTCAGGTTGGAGAATGAATGAAGAGAGCTTGATTTCTGAATAAAATTTAAACCCCTGTTCCAGCTACTGCCAGGAAAAAAAAAAAATGTGATAATAAAAATCAAACATTTCAGTGCAAGTGTTACCAAGAATATTTTTTTCTTCTTCAATGTCTTCAAAGACATGACTTTTTGACTGGTCTGCAATGGAAAAATCTGTCATCTTAACAGAGTGTGAAGAAATGCCATGAGGTGTTACTCAAGTGACTCACAAGGTCAGTCAGGGAAGGACAACCTAAGCCCCCTCACACAGCATCCCACTACGGCTGCCAGACAGCCCCACACTGCAGGGAGTACTCGTATGTTTTATGTGGCTTCTGAAACAGTAGCCAAAAAAAAAAGGAGGGAAATGCTGCAAGTTATGGGAAAATAATGGATATGTTTAAGCAGTTACACAGACTGTAGTTCCTGACTTAAGAGAAAAAGAGGATGTAGTTTATTTTTTTGTAAATGTGGCAGGCAGACAATTTTAATTTCTCTTCCAGGCTGAAAAGTTGGCCCCTGCTCCTTTCTTCCCTAGGGTTCCCCCTCCACACTCCCAGCTCAAAGCCATTTTTCCCTGAAGCAGCAGGAGGCACAAGGACACTGAAGTCAAGGGCAGGGCTGGTACCTGTCTTCCGGGAGAACAGTGGCCTCCAGCCTTCCTCACCGTCCAGCCCCAACCTGGGCTCCTCTGGCTTGAACTCGCGGCCACAGCGCAGACACTGGAGTCTGTCCCCTGGTGGGCCCCCTGCTTCCTCAAGCTGATGCTGAGAGGTGGCTGCTGGGGTCAGCACAGCCAGCAGCTCCTGAAACAGGGTGGGTCGGACACAGCTGTGAGCAGGACCCGAGTCCTCAGGCTTCCAGCCTCCCCCAGCTGCCTGGGCCCCACGCTAGGTTCCGTCACCTGGACAGCCGCCTGGGCATCTGGCTCCAGCACCATGTAGCGACGCAGCTGCCGGTCGGGGCAAATGTAGGAGAAGCGGAGAGCAAGGACGGGGCCCTGGGGTCGTGGATCTGAGCCCTGCACAGGAAGAGGGGTCAGTGGGATTAGGGTTATGCTGAGAGCGTGACGGAAACAATAGCTCTGGCCTCTGTAAAAGTGCTTTTGCTGACAGCCACGCTACAGCCCAGGAGCTCTGCCCCTCAGCCCAGCCTCCGAGTCACCTGGGGCCTGTCTTTGCCCCCTTAGTGCCCCTCCCAGATCCAAGCCCAGTGACAGAGCATGGGAAACAGTCGTCCCAGTGCCTGACCAGGCTGTCAAGAGTCAGTTCCAGAAAAAAGCCTAGCACCCCTTCCAGAAGCCCTGCTTCCACAGCTCACCTCAGGCACCTGCTCGCTCTGGGTCTGGGTCTCTGCCTCTATCTCAGCTGCCTCCAGACTCTGAAGCTCAAGCCGTTGCAGGGTTCGAGCCGCTTGGAGCTCCACCTCAAACAGGTGGCCCGTAGTGACCCAGAGAAAGCATTCCCTGCCCCGCACGCCCTCGGGCCCCTCCAGGGGACACACCAACATGGGCCGGCAGAGCTCCACTGAGGAGAGACAGAGACGGGGACACGTGAGGAGGGAGAGGCGGCCAAGACTCAGCCCCCGCTGTGGGGCGGCCGTCCACCCCCGTACGTGGGCTCTCCTAACCCCCGGACACGTGACCACCACCTAGTTCTGGCCTCCCTCGCGGCCACTGAGCGCTCACCCTCCACTTCGCTTTGCTCCTCTCCTCCCTCCTCTTCTCCCTGCTCCTCCAGCTCCTCTTCCTCCCGAGGCTCCAGCTCTGGCCGGACCTCCTCTGCCACCTCCTGCGGAGACTCCTCAAGCGGTGGAGGGCTGGGCGCAGGCCCTGGGCTCAGGGCGTCCGGGGACAACGTGCTGGGGGCAGAGGCCTTCAGGTGATTCCGATACTGCAGCCAGTCGCAGCCGAACCGCTCCCGAAAGCTGCTCATGAGTTCCAGCTCCCGATGCTGCTGCACAAACCACCCTGGGCAGGCGGGGGAGCGCGCAGCTTAGCAAACCCGGCCCCACCATGACCCCCAGCCGCCCCATCTTCTGGGCGTGCCCCTCAGGGTGAGGTAAAAAAAGGGGGTGTGACGGCAGGGGATGGCCAGCTCAGAGGGAAGCCAAAGTCTGCCCCTTTGGCAGCAGGTCTTGAAGCGAGTTCTACGTGACACTGGGGTCACGTGCAACTCAGAAGCGCAAAGCGCCTGCCGCTTAGGGAGACTGGAGAGACAGGGCAGCGCATTTAAGGTCCAGAGACGTCCTCTGGTTTAACGCAGCTTTTCCCGAACTGATGGGGCCACGGAATCCTCTCATTATCCAACCCACTGACACCCAACAAAGATAACATTCCCTGAAAAACCCTTTGGAAAGTGCTGCCCAGGAGCAGTCTCTTCTCCTTCCCCCAGACTGAAACAGGAAGGAAGATGAGGTACCCGCAATGCTCCAATCCACCAAAAAGAGAAGTCCTCCCAACTAGAAGACTGGAGCGCAAGGGACGGGCCAGGAGGCTGGGGGTGGGCCGACTCACCAGCCGGGGAGGGGTCCAGAGTCCGGGGCTCCGGGTCTGTGTCACTGGGTTCCGAGATACTCGCCCGCCTCACGCGGACTCGGCTCTGAGGTTGGGAGAGGGAACCCACGTTCTATGAAAGCCAGTGGCCTCCCACCCCACCCACCCGCAGGCAAGGACACGCCCTGACCACTCCCAGGACCCCTGCAGCCCAGAGCCCCCGTAAACGCACCCAAGCCGAGGCACGAGGCAGCCTAGGACCCCATTTACCTTCACCTTGCGGAGCGGGGGCTGGGCCACAACGCCCCCTGACGAGGGGCTGTCACTCACGTCAGGGCCACCGGAGGTTTCAATCGTACTCCCCACTGGCCAGGGCGGAGGTGGTGCCGTGGTGCTGAGCCCTGAGGACGTGGAGCTCTGGCGTGTGACAACAGGTAGGAGACAGAGGCTGGAGCCAGGGCGCACCCCTCTTCTGCTCATGCTCCCAAGAGACGGGGACTACCTTCCAGCCGATCGGACAGATCCTTCCCCAACTCCCCTCTGTTTCCCTCGGCTAGTGCCCTTCCTTCACCTCCTCCCAAATGGATCCCGCCCCGTCACTCCCACCACACGAACCTGTAAATCAGTCAGTGACAAGGCCTTTCCATCAAGAAGGAACTGAGCAAAGATAAAAGGGGAGGGCGGTGTCGGTGGGGAGCACATACTCTGGGGAGCCCCTAGCCAGGGTTGGGAGCCCTCCTAGTCTTATAAGGACCAGCAGGTTCGGTGAGGGGGAAAGGTATAATAAGCCAGCAGTCTGAGGCCTCAGCCCCTCACCAAGGGATGTGGGGAAAGGCAAGAGTGTGCAGGAGTGAGGGAGGCCTAGCAGGAAAGGGAAGGCGGAGCAGACATGGGCAGATACTCACCCCAGCAGCAGCGTCCCGGGCGCGGGGCGACAGGTACCGGGCGGTGGCCACGCGGTGTTCAGGGTGGAACCACAAGGGGTTCCCCTCCAGGCAGAGCTGGGCACAGAGGAGACTGAGGTGTGCCTTGGGCCTCCTTCTGTGAGGAAGGGGGCTGACCAACTCAGCATGGGGGGAGGTGGGGGGGACGGCACGAAGCCAGCTCCCCAGTCCTCACCTTGCGGAGCTCCGTCAGCAGCCACAGTGGCGCCAGCTCCCTGTGTCTCTCCAGCAGGTTGTAGGCCACATCCAGGTGCCGCAGGTTTCGCAGCTGTTCCAGGCCTGGGGCAGAGATGACAGGGGAGGTGTGAGCAAGGCTGTGGGTGAGCAAGGGTGGAGGGGTGTGGGGTGGGGCGGAGTGGAGTGGAGGGGGCGTGCTGGGGGAAGGCACGGCAGAAAGGCCAGCCTGGGCACCCCATACCTGTCTGAAGGCCGCAGGAGGCTCTGGTAGGCACACGGATCCCAGGCCACCCTGAGTCTCATACCGCCCTCATTCCCTTCCATGCTGGACCACCACCCCACCCCCAGCACACTCCCCCACTCACCATGCAGGCTCTGGAGCTCATTGCCCCGCAGAATCAGGGTTCCCAGAGCAGCCCCTGAGGGTCCCATTTTCGGCACTAAACGCAGGTGGTTGTAAGAGATGTCCAGGTGACAGAGCTCAGACAAATCCTGAGAGGGGATGCAGGGGGCGGTGATGCAGAGTCTCTCCTTGGCCACACTCTAGCCAGCCTCCTCTGAACCCGCTTCTTGACTAGGCCTCAAACTTGGCCTACAAAGACTACGGACTCTCAGCACAAATGATTTCACCTGCCCCTCTATCAACCCCTACGTTAAGACGAACAAATCTACCAGTTTCTAACAGCTCCGGAATGACCACCCCAGTCCCCTGACGTCACTGCCCAGGAAAACTGAAGGTGCCAGAAGGATTGAGTTTGCTCCAGACAACACCTGAAAGATAGGGCCCAGCTCTCTGCCTCCGTGGGGCTTTGACAAGTGCCAGTTAGCAAACTAGACAGGTTCACATGGACCAACGCCCCTTCCTGTTTTTCTTACATGTCCACTTTCCCAACTTCAGAGGAACCCGACTAGGGTTTGGTCAAAGAGAGAATCTGCCCAAGCCTCCACCATCCCACTTCCCACTGCCTCATGCTCCCTTGAAAATGCTCATCTCTGCACAAATCAAACTGGAATTCAGTTCACACCAAAAAGCTTATTACTGATTAAAACAGTTTTACTACTAATTAAATATCACCAATAGTTTTTTGCCATTTTAACCAGAATCCAGCTTTATCTCTGACAAGGAGACATAGGAGAAGGGTTCTTCAAGTTCACCATGAAAGCTACCCTTTACTGAGCTAGACCTTGAGCTAAGTATCATCAGATTCTCTTCACAATCGTTTTCATACTATTAAAGTAGGTACTTGTATGATGTATACTTTACAGATGAAAGAATTGAGAAGTTAACTAATTTGTCCCACGGAGATTAGGAGTTGAGGTTTGAACACTGGTTTGTCTTATGCCAGAGTCTGTGCCTCCAAAGAGTACTGCCTCCCAAGATGTGATTCCATGGGGAGTAGGGGTGGGGAAGCAGGGGGGTGGCAGATGAGAGGCAAGAGCAAGGTGGGAGCAAAAAAAGTGGAGGCCCAGGTGGCACCTGCCCAGCCAGGCTGTTCATACTCACCATCAGGAAGCCCTTGCAGTCCTGGACTTGATTGTGGCTAAGGTTCAAGAAGCGAAGAGCTGACAAGAGACGCTAAGGGGGGATAGGGACAGGAAGCAGAAAATCGGACACCCCCAGGCAGTCAACTGGCCCGCCACCCTAAGGGCCCATCCCTGTGGTTCCCCAGTTTCCCCAGCCCCTCCTGAGGCTCACTCACCAGGGAGCTGTCTAAGGCAGTCAGGGCATTGTAGCTGAAGTCAGCAGATAGCAGAGCCAGCCAGGGCAGGGCAGAGCAGAGGTCACCACCGCAGGCTGAGAGCAGCTCCTGCACAGACAGGCGGGTGCTGTTACCTCCACTCTCCACCCCCGACCACGCCAAGGCCACGCTCTGTCACCTGGCCATGCATTCACTCTATATACTGAGCTCTGTCTGGAAATGCAGACTTAAAGAAAGCCCAAGGTCCTCTTCCCAAGAAATGTGAGCAGACAGGGCAGAAAGGGAGGCAGATGTGAGAATGTCGAACACAATATGCTCGGTGTGACTCTAAGCTCCACGGGCACAGGTTACTGTGGGAACACAGCAGAGAGGGTGAAGACACTGTCTAGCAGGACACAGGAGGCAGGAGGCAGGGCACGCTGCAGAGAAGGGGCAACATCAGAGCTTGGTCCTCCACATCCCTCAAGACAAGGCTTCCGGGCTTGCCCCTGACCCTCCTTACCTCTAATGCCTGGAGGCTCCTGCTGCAGATCAGGGTCTCCAGCTGGGAATAGATGCCACGGAGGCCATGGAGGCAGTGGAGGGGGACACCTCGGAGCTGGAGCAAGGGAAGGGAGGGAGGGGCGGAGGGAGACTGAACTTCACGGAGGACAGATGTCTCATCCCCACCTCCCAATTGGGAAGAGGGGAACGATGACAAAGCTACCTATGGTTCAGGGCAGCCCTAAATGGAAGAGTGGGTGGGTATCACTGCAGAGCAACAGGCATACACGGTCTGCCCCCCACAACCCACCAAGAGGCCACCTCCCTGTCCCTGCCCCAAATGTCTACTGGAGCTGGGTTTTATGCACCAACATCCCCCAATGCCCCATACCTCCAGCTGTCGAAGGGACTTGAAGGGAAAAATTTTGATGGGCCCTGAGAGGCCAAGACCTGGGACATGGACCAGCTAAAAAAACCCAAAAAACAAAAAACTACTCAGGTCACTGAGGCCCGGCACACGTCCCTTTCCTTTAGCACTGCCAAGCACAGTGCGCTCCTCACCTGGGTCCGGGCCCTGTAGATTTTGTGCATGCATGCCACACCCCAGCCTCACCTCCCCTCTCCTCTTGTGCTCTTAGTACCCACCATCCCATCCCCACCCCAGAACCTTGAGTGAAAGCGTTTTCTGCAGCACATCGAAGAGGAACTGAAGCTGGAGGATGATGGGGGAGTCGGCGGGATGGGAGGGCAGAGACACAAAGCCTGTTTGGCCAGGGCCCCATGGCCCCAGATGCAGCTCAAATACGTGGTTCAGGTGCTGCAGTGTGGCAGTCAGCAGGGTCAGGGTGCTATGGCCAGACAGCACCACATCCCCTGCAGGGAGAGGGGCAAACAAGAAGGGCTCCATTTATTCTAAGACTTACAACCACAGGGTACATCCACGCCCACTCACAGACCTGTTCTCACTCACAGACCTGTTTGATCCCAACAGGATCAAACTTCACTACTCTTCCTCACTCAAAAGTCTTCAATGGCTCTCCTCTATCTTTCAAAACGTCCTAACTTTTCCGCCTGGTAGATTGCTTTACTACAAGACTCCAACTTTTCTAAATTTTCCTTCGCCTTCTGCTCAAAAGAGCCTGGCCTACTCATAGTGCTGGAAACAGCACTGGCTCTCCCAGCTTCCTCATTTTCTGACACACCCCCTTCCACTCTGCCCAGCTCAAGGCCCACCTTTCTCCAGGAAGCTTTCTCAGCATGCACCACTGCTGAACTTTTCACCATAACTACTTCAATTTATATGAGAGCAAATGAGAAGTTGTACCTGTACTTCTTTGTCTCATTGTACAAGGAACATGTGCACTTACAGAAACTTTCAAAAACACTAAAATGCATGTCAAAAAAGTAACCACTCATTTAAGCACTAAGGTATTGCTACTGCTCTCCAGGTTAAACCTGCCTTCTCTTGTCCTTGAGGGCATCTTCTGGTATTCATTACTGCATCTAACAAAATATAGCTACAAGGTCCTACTGTATAGAGCAGGGAGCTATATTCAATACCTTGTGATAAACCACAGTGGAAAAAAATACTTAGAATGTATATGTGTGTATAACTGAGTCACTTCACTGTACAGCAGAGCTTGGCACAACACGGTAAATAAATCATACTTCAATAAAAATAAATAAGTAAAAGTACCACTACAAGGTAGGTACAGAGATTTTTAAGTTTCTTGGAAAAAATAAGGATTGACTAGAAGGAGTTTACAGAAATAATACAGAGAGATCTCCATACCCTTATATGTAACCACCAATGGTTTTGTTTTATATGGAGTACAATATCAAAATCAGGAAATGAGCACTGTGGACAACTTGTACATATAGTTCTATGCCATTTTGTTACACGTAGATTCCTGTAACAACTACCACAATCAAGATATAAAACTATTTCATCACTGCAGCATTCTCCCTCCTGCTACACCTTTAGTCACTTGTATGCCTGTGTGCATGGACTCACACACATCCCCTATCAGCCCTAACCTCTGGCACGAAGTCAGATTCTTGCTAAATAAGTTATCAAATCCTACAACCTTGTATGAAGGATTTTCTATGTAATAGACAGTAAGGATAGATACAGACGAGGTTCAAGGACTCTCCCCATCCCGAAAGAGCCTCCCAGTCTAGAAGAGGAGATAAGACATGTGCACAGTTAATACTACAAGCCAGAAAGTAAAAATGCTATACAGATACCACCAACAGGAGTGCAGAGAGATGGAAAGGCAGCTAACATTGAGTAATACGTGTCAGATGTATGTTACTCCATTTAAACTTCACCAAAATCTCCTAAAAAGCACTGTTAATACCTGCTTACAAATATGGAAACTGGAGCGCAGAAAAGTTAAGAATCTCAATAGAGATCATAAATCTGATAGGAAGTTGTTACTCCCATCTGCTCTCAAAGCCAAAACTTCTACAACTAATGCCAACCATTACTGAATAACTACAATGACGCCACTGTGTCTAGGCTCGGAAGAAAAAAACTATAATAATTACTAACAATTTTGAGTGCTTACCATATATGCAATCACTGTTCTAAACGCTTTATGTGAATTAAAATTAATCCCCCTAGCAATCTTTCAGTTAAGTACAATCGTTATCCCATTTTGCTGATGAGGAAGAACTAAAGCTCAGAAAACTTAAACAATTTGGTCATATTTGAAAGAGCTGGGATTCCAACCCAGGGGCTTTTAATTATGCTATACTTCATGTTTTGCCACTGTCAACTACAAATTGGCACTTGACACTAGCACTTGTCATCCACCTCTACAAGGATTAAATCACGTGCTACTGCAGAAGCTGATTGTCGACACCCCCTGCAGAGTTTAGGGTGGAGAGCAGAAATGAGGAACTTGGTGCTCTGGAACAATTTAAAAAAACCTGGCAGCACAGGTCTTCAGATAGATATTTTCAGGAACCAATTTTATTATGAGCCCAATTCTTGTATCTCTTCACATCTAGCCCTCCTCATAAAAACACTAAAATCCTTCGTGGTGACAACTGTTGCTCATCACTAGCAGAAACGGTCTGCAAAACAATGTGTGCTTGATAGCATTTACTCTCCCTTCATCAAAATCACATATATACTGACCTTCCCCCCTACCTCTCTGGAGCAGTTTCTCAGAGCCATCTGAGATGCTAGCTCATGGGCTATAGTCCTCATTTTGCCCAAATAACACCTTTTTTTAAATTAGCGCCACAGGTCAACGATTATGACTAGTCCTTGGACTAGAAAGGCTTACGGCCAAGTAACGATCACTCCCCTCTGTGAGTATCAGAAAATGCATGAAGAAAGTAGCACCCGAGTTTGGCCTAGAAGGATGGCTAAGGTTTAGACCGTCAAAGACAAAGAGCGACAGAGCGAACAAACTCCGGGAGGAGTAGAGAAATTAATTCTTTGACACCCAAATCCTCGTGACCCTGAACAGCTGTAATCCCATGACTCCTAACTAGGCATGTCTCTAGAACGTAGGAAGTAGCCCCTCTCGGCCAGCCTCAGCCCAACCGGAAGTTCACTCACCGGACTCGCGCAGAAGCCCCGCGAGCTTCCACACCAGAGAGTCCCGCGGGGCGGTCGTCATGGCCACAGGACGCTGGGGGCGGAGCCAGAGAAAAGAGGAAGCGGAAGAGCTTCAGGTGGTAGTAGTGCCAAAACGCCAGGACGTCCGCGCAAACCGAAGCCTCGCGGAGGAAAAAAAAAAATCAAACAAGAGGGCGAGAAAGAGCTCCACTTTGGATCCCTTTCAAAGAGCATAAGGCCTGACCAGCCAGACTGACCTTGCTGTGTGATCCTCCCACCAGCTCTACAGCCGGACGCCTATCAATAATAGACAGGAAGTCCCGCCCCGGAAGAGAGGCGCTCGGAAGGGACGGCCAGAAAGTAAGCGGGCGCTGCTGGAAACCATGCCGTAAGTCATGCGAATGTCGAATGGGGGCGGTGCCCTCTGGTTCTGGCGGAGGCGGTCCTTTCGCGCCTCAGCTTCCTGAGCCCAGACCCCAATCCCAAACTGGGCCTCCGCCCTTGCTTCCCCTTTGTGGGCCCCGCAAGGCCTGAGCCACCCGCTGAGCTCGGCTGGGGCCGCTCCGGGTCAGTGAGGAAAATCTGACTCCTTGTTTGCAGACTGGGCAGGGAAGCAAAGTTGGGAGAAAAGGAGTTTTCTGTTACTGAGGAAAAGACTCATCCGAAGACTCCTTTTTCAGTTAAAGGAGAGCGTGTACGGCATGGGAGGCTGTTTTTTAACATCTGTGTGAAAGCTGGGACTGACCGAGGTGCCATTTCTGGGGTCTCTGACCGTTTTTCCTTCATCTTCCTCCAGACTCGCTTTTCTTTTTCTTTCGTGAATATCAGCCTCTCACATTAGCTTCGTAACGCTCCACATAACACCACGACCTTTATTTTTCCTTTGTTTCGACTCCTAACACTTGAATTTAAAAGTTATTGTTTTGAGTTTGAAAATGTGTAAATAGATTCACAAAAGCCTAGGTTACTTGGGAAGGTCATTCAATAAATAACCGATAGCTCCGAGACTGCAGCGTTCCCATTGTAGCTTTCACCCGGTCCCGGTCAAATACAGATGTTGACTACAGAATTAACGAGTAATGCCTCTTAACAGAATTTCTTGTTTTAAGGAAGGGTTTGGTTTTTTTTAATGTAACACCCAATCTCCTGATTTATTTTTAAAGTTAATGGTAGGCCAGTTGAGATTAAGAATAAGGTCATAGTCATTTTTATTCCGAGTTACAAAATTTGAAGGATCTTCTTTTTTGAAGACAAAATATTTGAAATGGCAACTTAACGCCTCTAAAGCACACAACTTGGCGACTGTGGCAAACTATGTGTGACCTGAACCCAGAGCCTAAGAGTGAAAGAGACTAAGAGGAAACACATCATGAACAGCAAAGCAGTATACAAATATAAAGTAACAGTGGGACCTCAATATATTTTTGTTGATTATTAATCCCATAAAGGTGATGATTGTCAGTCCCGGTTTATCAGTGGCCTGGAACTAGGGAGTGGCTGGAACTAGGAAGTGGCTGGAATTTAGGAAGTGGGTTCTCCCATAGGGCTACTGCTAATTCTCATTTTTTTTAGACAAGAAGAGACAGCTTGTTTTGATGTATCTGACATTGCAGTGCTTTGAAATCAATTTCATTACTTTACAATATTGTAGTGGTAAAAAAAAAAAAAATCAATTTCAGGGGTGCCTCTCCAGCCCACAGTTTTTCACCATTGATATGGGTAGCCACCCCTCCCCACCCCCGCCAGATTTGTTCTGCATCCCCTTGAATGTAGAAGTGGGGGCAAAGAGCAGCAAAGAAAGCTTAACTGGAAGAAGAAAATAGCTCCTGAGAGAAGCAGCAACAAGAGACTAAGCAGCTTTTTTCCCCCAGCCCTTGGTGAGGCCAATTCCCCTTTCTGCCCTTGCCTGGAGGGGAGGCCTTGGCCACCTTCCAATGAATTCTCCCCACCCCACCCCACCCCGCTTTTTCCCTCTAAGTTATAGTGTATTTCTGTAAAGTGCTGCCTAAGACAAAACCTTTGCAAAAACTTAAAGTCTTAAAGGGAAAAAAATTACCCTTTTACCATAACAGAAAAAAAAAAAAGCATACACCTATATTTTGAGAAATATGCAATATCTATATGCAGAAAACCAGAGAATTTTAAGGACATTAGAAATGACCTAAGTAATTGAAAAGACAACATGTTCTAATGAAAAGATTCAATATTCTACTGATGTCAATTTTATGTAATTTCCATCAAAATTTTAATGGTAAGATTTTGGAACTCGACAAGTTGATTCTAAAAGTCCTCTGGAAGACTAAACATATGAGCACTGCCAAGAAACTTTGAGGAGAAAATAGAACAAGAGGCACTTAGAGGGACCATGCCCTACCAGATAGCAGAGTGACCCGTGAAGCCACAGTAACCAAAGCAGCATGATACTGACAAAGAGATACGCAAATATCGATAGAAACAACTAAGATTACATGGCAATTTTTTTTTAACTCTCTCTCTTTTTAGTCGCTAAGCCATTACCAACTTGCGACCCCATGGACTGTAGCCTGCTAGGCTCCTCTGTCCATGGGATTCTCCAGGCAAGATACTGGAGTGCGTTGCCATTTCTTCTCCAATTGACTTTAATGGTATAATAAAGTGAGTTGTCCATAGTTTTGGAACAACTAACTTTCCATCTGAAAAATACTTAAGTTCCTAACCTTACATCACACAGATTAAATTCTAGAAGGATCAAAGAGCTAAACATTGTTTTAAAAATTAACCCTAAGGACTCTTTAAAGTTTGAAGTTCAAATTCACCTCTTAAAGAATTACTATCTTAATTTTAAGAATATGCAATGTCATTTCAAAAAAATTATCCTTAGAAAATAATATACAGGCCTTGCTACTGCATAATTGCATATTGTTCAGTCGATAAGTTATGTCTGACTCTTTGCACCCCCAAGAGCTGCAGCATGCCAGGCTTCCCTGTCCTTCACTACCTTCCTGAGTTTGTTCAAATTCAGGTCCACCGAGTCAGTGATGCCATCTAACCATCTCATCCTCTGTGGCCCCATTCTTCTCTTGCTCTCAATCTTTCCCGGCATCAGGGACTTTTCCATATTATCATTAATAAAATTATATTTTGCAAAGAAATGCTATGACATGCTCTTAATTTACAAACACCCTTCTGAGTTTTATGCCACAGGAATCACACTCCACCTAAAATCAGAAATGTGCATCAGGTTTCATCTCCATATTATTGTGTGAGGAGGAAAGTGAGCTATAAGCAGATGTCACTGCTAGCTTCCCTGACACCTCAAGTTCCCTGGAGTAGCATCCGCAAAATGCTGTGTCTGAAGGGGTAAAGGAAGTTGTGCTGGTGACTAGCTTAGGCAGCAAGGGAGGAGAGAAGGAAGGAAAGGTATCTTCATACAAGAATGACAAAATCAGCCCCCAGAGAATGTAAACCTCAGCATCCTGGTCCAGGGCTTGTTTGTTTCTGCAGCCTTGGAGCATGCAATCCCCTGGACTGTTGCCCACGGGGGAACAGAAGTAATAGTTCATCTTTAGGACGTGAGCCTCGTCTCTGACCTGGACCTCACCACTCTGGTGCAACAGCCTCCTGCAGCAGATCAGATGACCGAAACCTAAGGATTCCTTCGTAATGAAACTTTCACACTTGGAATTACATTGTGGGTAGGAAGGGTGAAATTGGATGCTTTGTTTCATCAACTAGGTATCTTCTGGAGTGGAAAGGCAAGGGTTGAGGGAACATGAAAGGGAATGAAGAGGTGCAAATATTAACCTCCAAAAGTAGATTTTGGTAAAAGAATTTGTACTAGTTAGTCTGTGCCTGGCACCCACAGCCCCAGAATTCAGTGGTCAGAGGCAGTCTGTGTTAGAACCACATATCATGTCTCTTGGCTCTGCTCCCGGACTGAGCCACAAAAGACTGGTCCAGGAACTGACCGAGTCACCACAATCAAACATATGGGACAAGTCAGCAGTACTGGAGGAGATCTGGCCTGAGAACTCTGCGTTGGACCGCAACTAAGCAAGCCCATCCTGCCTGGTTACAGGAGAGACTGAATGTTAGGTGCACGGAGGGAAAGCTGGAGAGGCAGAAGCCGAGTTCAATACGAAATCAGCAAAAGCCTGAGAATGAACAGCTGGCTGAGAAGCTGCAAAATAATGTTTCAGTGACCCAGCAGCAGCCGTGGTTACCCAGCCCAGGAGGAATTGCAGTTCTGCATAAGTACACTGAGGGATTCCCTGAGTGGCTTTATAGTAAACCTGAAGTCACCTAAGAGTGCCTTTAATTCTTTTCATTATCTATCCTGGCAGCCCATGGAATCATCTGAGAAGAGGGCTAAGAAGGGCTATAAAAAGATTGACCTTGGGTTTAATTCAGAACACCAAAAGGGAAAGATGGTATGAGAACTACATTCGCTATTCAAGCTCATGGGAAAACAGCAAAAGCCTGATAGGAGATGAGAGTGGAGGCAGCTATGGAGAAGAGAAGAAAGCAGACATAAGTCACTGTTTCAGGCATAACCTATTCAAGACCTGTTGACAAAGACAGGTACATATGTGACAAGTGTCTGCCATTGCAGTTCTGCCTACATGCAAGGCTGGAGAGAGGAAAGAAATGGTGCACAGCAAGGGAAGAAGCTGCAAATAGAATAGCAATAAAAACCTGCAAAGTGAAACAAAGAGAAGTGAGATCAGAGAGCTTAGGGTCTCCAGGACCCAGGGAAGGGGAAAGGCAGAGCCTGCTTTGGAATCTCAGAGCTTCAGTAGAACCTCAAACTTAGAGCACTCTCTCACTCATTCAACCAGTATTTACTGAGCCCTGACTATGTGCCAGATTCTGTGCTGCATTCCTAGTAGGTATAGACGACAACAGTGCGGCTCTTGTTGTCAAGAGCCACCAGTGTGGTGGAAGAGAGACTCCAGCAATCACATCTCAACACTGTATTGCTTCCTATCATTGCTGTACAAATGACACCAAACAGTTGCTTGAAACAACACACATTTATTAGCTTATAATTCTGAAGATCAGGAGTCCAAAATGGATCTCATTGAGCTAAAAATTAAAGTGTCCTTGGGGCTTTGTTACTTTCTGGAGGTTCCAGGGGAGAATCTGTTATCTTGTCTTTTCAGCTGCCTGCATCCCTGGTGGGTGGCCCCTTTCCATCTTCGCAGCCAGCAATGACTGAGTCTTTTTGACATCACATCACTCTTGACACTGACCCTTCTGATTCCTTCTTCTCCATTTAAAGAGGATCATTGTGATTACATCGGACTCACCTGGGTGCTCCAGAATAACT